AGGCTCTGATTTTCCTCACATCTGCAGGCTGCCTAAGAGAACTGCAAACTGTTACGGAGCAGAGCAAGCCTTTAGTATAGCACACCATTACTTCATAGTTTTTAATATTAGTCCCACACTACCCATGAAATTCCCCCAAATATTTGGGAAAGGGCCATATGTTTTATATTTGGCAGTTCATGGTCTCCAATCTTTTGGACTCGCCTTTGCTTACACAAGGGCTTTTAACCTAGCTACTGTATTTAGTCATCAATACACACTGATGGTTACTTAACTTCCAGAAGCTGCTGACCAGGCACGGATGAACTAAGGTGAGATGAGAACCTGTGATCTGCAAAGGAATCTGACGTTTTCTACTTGTGTTTCTTCTGGTATTGGAATAACTCAAAACGGCCCCTGTCTGTATCATATGTTCCCAGCACTTCTGCCCTAAACACGGCTCTCAGAGTTTCAGAAAAAGGAGTTTGGCATCTTCACCAGATGGTAGCCAAGTATCTCGTACGCATCCCGTGTGCCTGAGCAGGATGGGGCTGGGCCAGGCAGGGATAATCCAGGCACATCCAGAGCAAGTGTTGGCATCTCTGCGCCCTACCCGGCATCGCTGTGTGTGTGTCTGTGTGCTACACGCCAAGAGACATCATTGCATCGGGTCTGAGCCACTGCAGACTAGTGGGGAGCCCAATTCACCTGGAGGGCAACTAGACCTCGAGAAGAAACCCTCTCCCCCACCCAGCAGAGAGGGGTTTGGTCATGGGAAAATCTCTGTGTGTCTGTGGCAAAGAATGAGGAAGAGGGAAATGGATTTGGATCAGCAGTCCTGAAGAAAAGTATTTCTGCTTTCTTTGTTCCTCCCTTGTTTCATCCCTTACACCACGCACTCCAGGTACAGATAAGCAACCAACTGACCTGAGGGCACGATCAGCCTTGACACTTCTACACATCCCAGTTTCCCTCTAGGTTTCCCCCAGCAACTCTCCGTCCAGCTGTAGGTCTCTCCGAAAGCCCAGTAAATGGCTTAACCAGGATGGACAGATCCAACATGCCTAAAATTCCAGGTGGCAACACTCCCACCACGAGCATTTCCAAATCCCCTCTGAAAGACCCATTTTGAACACTATCTCTTGGCAGGCTTTCTGCTTCCTTCGAGCAAAAACACAAGGTTCTGAGAGCACAAATCTTTGCTTGCATTTTAACAGCCATGTGTGTTTTAGGCAGATCAGAAGGGGTTATTTAAAGTCTGCCTAATAGCAACGCACTCAGTTATACTTCTTTTTTTCTCCTGCTTCCTGCACGATGCAGAATAACCACTGCGAAAGCGTTTCCTCCTGGAACTTGAAACCAGAGCCAGGCCAACTGCGACTTAAAGGGGTTATTTTATAAATATGGGGCCTGTACATTCAACTGGGGCACTGACTTGCACCAGGCTGAGCTTCAAGGAAGCCGCGTTTCACTGGTGTCAGCAGCCCTCACACCTGAGGGTGTGAGTTCTCTCCAAGTGGGAATATACATGGAATAAAGGGAAAGGGCCCGCTGCCGGAACGCTGCCTGCTCGCTGCATCACCCGGCGGGATTTTCTGAGCCATGACTGACTCAGGATGAAACACACTGCTGTACCTATTCAGTTTCCCTAACCCTCTCCAGATGGGAGAGCTGAAGGCTGTTTATAAACTCACAGATTTTTGGCCTATTTACCCAAACTGAACCTATATATACATACATGCACGTAAACTTTTTTTTTTTTTTTTTTTAAAAAAAAAAGGTATTGACATTCCCAGACTGCCCCAATTCCCAAATAGAGAAGTACAGCTAGACCACTTCTGTGCTGGAACATGGTGTTTATAGGCAAGGTTTGCACTTACAGACCTATCTCCTCTCCTGCCTGTGTCCGCAGACGTGTCCCATCAGGCTCAAGCACAGCGGCTTGACCTGGTGATTCAAACCCCAAATTGCAGAATTTCATTGCAGAATTTCTGCCAGAGAAGCTGAGGACTCATCCTCAGCCAAGATATCTAGGTTTAGGCTTATGGAGACGGATCAAGATATAAAAAGCAATGCATCAGCTCAAAACTTGCTCCAGCCTTCTGGTCTAAAGTTAAAAACAGGCTCTGCGCAGCCGAGACGGTCAGAAATTGATTCCCGAACTTCTAGGAACTGCTTTAAGAGTTTCATTAGCAGAGATCTTGCAAATCGAGCTTTATATGATTGTCATCGTAGCTGAAGAGGAACTAAAATACAAGTCATTTAAAAGCTGAAGTGACTAGGCCAAGCTAATAAGTGAAAAAAAAATAAAAAAGGAGAAGGAGTTGCATATAAATTTCATAGACCTGGATGCATTTTACATCTCCTTGAATTGTTTGGGTTTGCTAAATTTAAAGGCGATTTTGCTTGTTTGAAAACCCAGCTGAGAAGGACCAGAGCAGACGTGCACCCGCAGTGTCCCAGCTCCAGGGAACGGTCGTGCGGGCCTCCTGTTTCCGAGCCTCCAGCTCCCCCGCGCTGGGACCAACGAGGCTGCCGCTGCTGTGGCTCCTTACAGCACACACAGGCCACAGCCGTGCGGAAGTCAAAAACAAAGATTAAAAACAGAAAAGGGGGGTGCACTGAGATGTCCTGCCGCATTTGCCAGTAATGAAATTTGCACTGAGCTGATGGGAGACGTGTCTCTTGGTCTGAAGAGGACGGGTCTTCTCTTGGAAATATTTTCCATGCCTGAGAGCAAGCAGAGCAGGTGGAGTCTCAGCGCATTTAAGCCCCTTGGACTCCAGGAAAGCTTCCAGCAACGTTTCAGTGAGAGATATCCTTAGTTATCACAGCCTGAATATCCAGCAATTGCCTTGGACCGGCTGCCGCCTGCGAGACGGAAAACTAAATGGAAATAGGAGCCAGCTATGAAAACACGGAGAGCAGAGTGCCAGAAATTGCTGTATGAAGCCTGTTGCTCAGTACGTATGCAGAACTGAGAGGGTTGTTAGCAGGTGAAGAAATGTGTAGGAGATGAATAATTCAGGTCGGTTAAGAAAACAGGCTTTTCAGAAGGAGAAAAACCTGAGGAGAAAAGGCAATGTGAAATCCAATGTTTGGAAACTCAAGGCAGTAACCTGAACCACTCCTATTCTTTACAGCACTCTAAATTAACTGTGCCAGCTTGTAATAAGATCTGGCCACCAGCACCCAGCAGCAAGCCAAAGAACCTGGTAAAAGAGCTGCAGGTATGCAATGACAAACCATACAGTTTAAATGATGTAGCATTAACACAGCCACACGGGACACCTGGAATATTTGTGGGTTTTAAGTGACTCCGTTTGAAAAATGCATATTGCAAAGAGATTAGGCTGGAAAAGACCACGGGGAAAGCCTCAGATTGAGAGACGTTGAGAAGACCGCCCTCGTTTACGTGGAGGGGAAAGGAAGAACATACACAACTGTGAAAGACAGAGAAGAAAAAATATCACTAACTGTCTCGGCCGATACACAACAGGAGGGATGATGAACAAAATGGAAAGCAGCAAGGAATAGGTTTTCGACCACAGGAAAATTAGTCTGTGGAAATGATTCTCCTAGGGTACTGATACATCCAGAAGCCTGGAAGGACCTAGTATGGATCTGGCCACTGGCACGCAAAAAAGGACAGAGATCTATATTAAACATATATATGTTTATAAGAATTAACCATAAAACACCTGGAGTACGTAGGACCTAGTACTGTCTTTCAGTGTAAAACTGAAACTCTTGGTTTCTCCTTGTTAAAAACAAAACCATATTGGGACAATTAGGGAACTACAGGTAAGAGGTGCAAATGGACCTGGGGACATGCCTTTCTTGCTCTTGCATTTTCTGAAGTACCTGCACCACCATTGGTTACAGCCACAGGGCTAGAGACACGGTTGACCTGGCCCCATAGGGCCACTCCTACATGCAGCAGCTATGCAGGAGCAGCAGCAGGGCATAATGAAAAACTCCAGTGTTTCTTCAGTGAAAGATCAGTGCCATCCTGCTGCTTCCTCCCCTCTCTAGCTCAGCAACCACTTCCTCACTCATAAGCAAACAGTTTCCTGCAAGTCCAGCCTGGAATTAAGCCTCAGTTTCAACTACATCATCCTTGGGCTGTTCCATCTTCAAACCTTGTGGGCACAATCCCATTTCAGCAAGCTGCCTCTGTCCTCCCTCCCACTTGTATTTAAGCAGGCACCTTCCAGACTTAAGATCAAGCTTGTGGCCAATGGAGAAGACATCAAGAGAAATTAGACTTAACGATAGTTGCTTATGAAGTTGCTGAAGAGCCACAAAGTCATGACACTGCAGGACAAAGATCTTCTCACGTGGCTAACAATTTCAACACTAATGTAGGTATAAGGGCACATTGCATCACCAAAAGACATCATCTGCCTATCAAAATTGAAATATTCAAGCCCTAGAGATATTTATCCATATGGTAATGCTATATTTTACTCTTTTTATTCTTTGCAAAATTTTAAACTGAGAAATTACTGAAGGGAAAAGTCTTATATGCACCGTAAGTTACTGACAGGATGACTCCAAAGCCCACGTTTAGCCTATGCTTCTTACAGCCCACGGCAGTGGTCTTGGTCCTTCTTATTATGCTGCTCCTATGAGGCTGTTTCTAGCTGAACCCATGATCTGTGTACCCAGAAAGGGTGCACAACCTGCATGCAGGAGAGGCTGCTGCTGCTGCAGTGGATCTCTCCAGGTTTCTACATTTTCTTGACATCTCCTTCAACACAACGCCAACTTCTGGCCTGTTCCTTACTGTCATTCACTCAGGAGCAAACTCAGCGGATACAGAAGGGCTGTAACGTTTGCTCTGGCCTACGCCTTTCCCAATGCACAACAACCACTCACCAACAACTGATGAAAAAAGGCTCTGGTCCTGCAACACATGATGACTGTTTTCATTGATCCAGTTTCCTCCTTCACGCTTCAAATCAGGAGCAAGTCAGCATAGAACATCATATTGAGTAACAACCAACACCAGCACTTACTGAGAGGTTTAAGGATGCTGCTGCTCGTCTCATCAGCATTTTCTACGTCTGATTTGTCGGAGTAGTTCTCAGAGATTTTCTCCTTTTCTTTCTTTTCTTTGTGCCCAGGTCTTCTTCTGTGACGCCGCCTTCTCCTATAGCTCTTCGGCACATGGACCCCAATGTAAATAGTGTGATGACCTACGGAAGACAAGCACAGTGAACATTAATTTCGACTGCATATGGCATGGTTCACGTTGCCTTTCATCCAAACATTAATATACTGCCTAGCATTAATTACTAGCAGGTTTCTTGGCTTCAAAAGTAAACTAGGAACTCTTGAGCTACCATTTGGAAAAGCACTTTTTGTACAGTCACTTCTGAGAGCACATGCCAGTGCAGACTCGCTGATAATTATTCAGTCCTTGTGACTCACTTAAAAATAAAAATAAAAACCACAGAAGGCTAGACTAATTTTGCAACACTGAATACAATGCTCTCCAAAACCATTCCTCATTAATCTTCCCCCTTTCTTTTACTAAATGTATTAACTGGACTCAACACTCACCTTGTGCAAACTCATCCAGTCTAACTGAGCCCAAAGCACTTGACTACATAGCCCATCGCACGGTAAGTGTTAAAGTGCCACCAGGGTCTTATTGTAAAACAGCACATGAGTTAAGGACTCAAAATATAAGATACTGTAAGCTTCTAAGGACTCGACACTTTCCGAAATTAGAACTAAGTTAAGTCTCAAATTTCTCACACTCCCTGTAAACACAAAGACTGTCTTTACCCCTTTAGTATGGAGTTTTCTTTCACACTAAAGGACCTGAATCCAGTTTGTCCATTTTTATCTCATATTGCCTACGAGTCTGATCAAAAGTCTTTTATTCTCAAGAGCTTTTTGTTCTTCTACCAGCCTGGAAAAAACTTCCTTGTGATCATAGAAAGTGTTTGCGTTATTCATTTTATATGAATAAAATAGGTTCAGACAAACACACATGCCCTAGCACTGACTCAAATACATTTATCCGAATGAATGATCCTCAAATACACATAGAAACAAGAGCGTTTGTCTCCACGGACAGCCAGGTACTTCCTCTCACACCCAGAAACAAGAGCCCTTCTGCAGAGCCTCCTCACATACTTTTATTCTCACCATTTATACCTGGCACGTAAGCGTGGCTGTTAACACCACGTATGGCCATCCCAGGTGACATATTCCGGAGTACAGAGCTCCAGCCCGTGCCATTTGGTGACTCTCTCCCCCAGGAGAGCAGAGGCTCCTCCAAGCTCAGGAATAAGAAACAAGCTGAGCCAGTAACCCAAGTCGGGCAGCCCTGGATAAAGTAGCCGTGCACCTGGGCAAGTTACAGAGAGAAAACCGACCCCAGCTACCTGCCCCTCTCCTCTGATTTTCCTTCCTGACACACTATCCTCTGCTCTCGCTTTTCACCTGCAAGCTGCAATTATTCCCCTTCGTGGCTGGCTTTTCAGCAGCATTACGAGGCTCCGGATTAGCCACCTATTTGCAATGCAGAGCAAATAGAGAGCACTTCGGAAATGCCAGCATGACGGTGAAGCCAGAGGCTGAGGCTCCCTGCTAACCCCGCTGCTGAACACATGGGCCCCATTCCTCCTCGGGCTGAGCCCCCTCCTTGAGAGAAAGCTGAGCAAGGAACTTGTGCATAATTTCCACAGGAAAGTGCCTTTTTTAATGAACATCAGCCCCTGAAGCCGCTCATCTCTTCTAAGAGCCCTCAGGCTGCAAGGCTGATGCTGAGGGCTCAGGGACAGTAGTGCAGGGACATGGGGGACCAGGTGAGGCACACAGGGCCCAAGGCAGCTTTCCAAAACACCCTGCATAGATATAATCATGTATAACATACACGTGTGCATATATAATAGACTGGAGGTGTTAAAAAGTCTGAATTTTCATGGACAAATACAGTAACCTTTAACTGTTGTTGGAGGCTTCCACAGGGGTGGCCGGGGCATTTTGTGAGCCCATGTGGAAGGCAGCCCTGTGTGCACGCGGTGTCCTGGTGTCCTTCTGCACCTCCTGCCCTGCTCCTGGTGGGTTTAGCTAAGAGATGGCCCTTCAATC